TCATCAATTTGCAACTCCATGAATCTGAAGAGGGCTCTGGCTAGCATCGGATCCATGGACTTCAGTTGGACTGGGCTAGCCCGCCTTCATGATATAGAATAACTTTTGATATAAAGTTCTTTTTCACACATATATGACTGTCACTGTTTTCTCTAGACAATCTAGCCTCACACAGCTGCTTTTAGCATTAAAGAATAAAATATATACCCTAGCTCCTACATTTGGTTTCTAATGAACTAATTCTCTTGTTTATCCTGTATAACTCTAGACTTCTTCCTCCATTTTCACTGCCCTTACCAAAAGTCTCAAGCTTTTTCTCACCCCTCTTAGCCTGACTACAAGAAACCCTTCCAAATGGCCTGGAATTACTGCATGATGCAGGGATCCTAAGCAGGGATCCACTGAACAGAGAATGAGGAAGGGCAAAGGTTGGAGAAATAGTTTTTAACAGCACTGGCCATTTGTAAAGTCAAATCCAGAATGATGTTCAGAAGAATTATGTTCAGATCTCCAAAACAAGAAAACACTGAATAAGCAGCATGTACTTTAAGCAACATATACTTGAACTTATGTACTTCACAAGTTATTTACCTTTCAAGAATCTAGGCCAAGTGTGCATTTCTCTAGTAAGAGAAGAAATGCACGTCTTACCTTGCACATAGATGGCATATTCACACAACCCCTGGGTCTCCTTAAGCTGTTCTTTGATAAGAGCCTGAAAAAAAGAAAGCAAAAGAGTAGTGGTTTACTATCTTTGAGAAAAGACAAATAAATAAATAAAGACAAACATATGTGGGTACTGCAATCAATGTCACAAAACAAAATGTGTATGATCTATTGAATGAAAAGCCAATGTGCTCTATATATTCTCACTGAAGCCACAACAGAAAGTTAAAAAGAGACAGATGTAGACGAGGGACATCTAAGACGGCATAACCAAAAGCCCTGGTGGTGAAGCAGGTTGTGCGCGGGGCTGCTGACTACAGGTCAGCAGTTTGAAAGCACCACCTGCTCCGCAGTACAAAGACAAAGCGTTCTGTTCGCATACGAGCCACAGTCTTCGGACACCCCTCCACACACACAGGAGCAGTTCTAGCCCGTCCTACAGGGTCACTGCGAATCAGAATCGACTCAATGGTCGGCAGTTCAGTTGTTGGGGTTTTTTGAAGAGAGTATCTCAGGAAAGGACGACTCCAAAACCAAACGCACTGCCATCAAGTGGACTCAGAACCACAGTGACCCTACAGGTCAGGGTAGAACTGCCCCTGGCTGGTTTCCAAGACGGTAACTTTTATAGACATGAAAAGCAGTGTCTTTCTCCCCCTGCAGAGGCTGGTGGCTTCAACTACTGACCTTGTGGTTAGCGGCTCAACCCGGGTTCCAAAGTACTTACTGCTGTAGGGTTCAAAATCATACATGCGTGGGTTTATTTCAAGTAAACGGTGTTTAAACATGTCATCGTGATAAATAATTCTCTAAATAATGTACTTGTCTTAGTTTTGTTAGGGTGCCTTAAAACAAAACAGGTCCAATCAGAACAGTCGCTTCCAAGGGGATCTTCTGGGCTAGTTTATAGTTTAAATCAAGGTACAGTGATCACCTCAGAAAATTATGGCAGAAGACTTCTCCAAGACAGCAGACCAGAAAAACACAGTAAACAGACTTTCTACAACAAAGACTCCAGAGACTAAATGATTCAGATACAGATGATGATCCTGGAACCCTGAGCTTCAAAGGAAGTGATTGAGAAGTGGATTGAGTACCAACTAGCAAGAGCTGAACAAAAGCAGCCAAAGAGGAAACACACAGCTGAATTGTTGGAAAGGCTGACGCAGTGTGGCCATTATCAGCTCTGCTTGCTCAGGACCAGCACAGGTCCCCACACAGGTGGCTGACAACGAGAAAGGTTGGATACTCCCTTATTTTCCACACCCACCTGGTGACCAGAGGAGTGGCCAGCCCCCACCTAGCAACAGAAAAAATGCAGTCCCAGGTGGCTTCACTAGTGAATTTTACAAAACAGAGAAGAGCTGACACCAATTCTACTCAAACTATTCCTAAGTATAGAAAAGGATGGAAAACTCCCAAATTCACTGTATAAAGCGAGTACAACCTTGATAGCAAGACCAGGCAGAGAGCTCTCCAACAAAGAAAACTGTACCAACATCTCTCCTTGAGGTAGTTAGTTTATTGTTTCAACCTGGCCAATAAACACATGTGGGATTAATTGAAGGGTGGAGAGCTAAATGGCTCGGGGAGCCTCGCCTTTCTTGTCTCTTGCTCTTTGATCATCGGACCAGTGTGCAGCTGCCTTGCTTGTTCTGTGCCTCAATTTGCAAGCTACACTACCTGTGGGACACCTAACCATGGACTGTGTAGCTATAATTTGAGGTTCCTTTAAGACCTGCTTCGCCACACCATTGGAATGTATATCTCTTGAGCTGGGGACTGTCAGACCCTGTCATCTGGCTGACTGTTGGTGACCTGCCTTGCTGTTTGCTGCCTGTGCCCGGGATAGCCTGAATTG